TAGCATGATGCTTTCGATCAACAACGACAACAGCTGCGTATGACACGAACTCCTCCATCTTAGTCTCTGAGCTGTCCGCTATGCTCGCTCCCATCGTCCCTCAGGACCTCATTCCGCCCATCGTGGCGTGCGCGGCCGTGCTGGTTGGATGCCTAGCGAGCGAGTATATGCAGGAAGAAGCTCCTATCGTTGTGATGCGCCGACGGTGCAGGAGCACCGGCCTGTCCATGCTCAACGACCTTCAGCTCGACGGCCTCAACGCCGTCTTCCCTGCCCTGGTGTTGTGCTACTACATCTACAGGTCAGCCAGCGAGGACAGGGGTTGGTGGTACCACCTGCTTGACCTGGACATGGATGATGAGCAGCTTGCCTCTATCCGAGATGAGGCTGCCGACTACCTCGCAGACCGCGTCCTTGCCGACGTCATCCAGGACAAAGGAGCGTTCTTGGCCTGCCCGGCCCTTGTCTTGACCGGCGAGGAGGAGCTGCGCATGCACTTGTACAGGAGGAAGGTGCTAGTGCCCAAGTACATGAGGCTGTTCTCGTGGGCAAGCGCCGAGTACCAGGACATGATGCGCCAGATGCTCGACCTCATTGCAGAGAGGGGCTTCAGGGAGGCCGTCCAAAACGGTTGCCAGTGCCCATGGAGGGAGCTGTTTCGGAGGGCGGAGTTCCTGGGCCTGTGGGAGGCAGAAGGGGTGGGGCTGAGCACCGGGGTGCTTGCAGACATGCTGCAGTTGCTGCCCGACGACGACGTGCCCTTCTCGGCCATGTTCTCCCTCATCCTCCGAGACGCCGTCGGGGACCTGAGGCCCAGTCTCCGCCGCACTTCCCTGCATGTTGATGTCTTCCTTAGCTTTCTGGATTTCATCAGACTCTGCAATCACACCAGCGTGTCTTACGAGAATTTTGCTGCCAGAGTCAAGCTTTGTGTGCGTCCTCGCCTCGACTACGCCCCACACCTTCTGGCCGACATGTCCAACAGCGGTCTCACCATTCTTACCCGGAGGCGCCGGAAGGCGATGCACAAGGTGAGCAGGGAGTTGATGCTTGGCTATGCGATGCTTGCGAGCACCATCTCGGACAACTACAGCCGCATCTTGCCAAGGGACCGATGGCTCGTTGGCGGTGAGGAGCAAGTAAAGGCTGTGCGGAGGCAAGCGTCCGAGCACATCGTGAAGCTGCTGGGGAGGGTGGGGGTGTAGATGAGCAAGAAGGCCTGTGGATCGGAGTTTTCTTTGTCTGAGTCGATTACGACAATAAAGTATACTCACGAAGTTTTGACTTTCCTCTTTGCATTGCACTTTCCCTTTTATTGATCTTTCGATTTCAATTCTCCTGCTTCATCAAAAGCAAGTCCTTGTGGTTGTTTTTATCTTGCTGGCACCTTTGTAGGTGTCTTTTCACATCTGCGTATCAATTTCTATGACTTTACATGCACGGACCAGATGCTGTTTCCTGGCTGGTGTTGTTGAACACTGATCATTCGATCTACTCCAACGTCTTCAACTCCTCTCATCATGTCAAAGGTGATCCTTCAAGGCAAGTTGGTACGTCCACAGACATAGACTTCAGGCACAATGGCCTTGATCAGCAGGAGGAGGAGACAGTCTACTGCCCGCACTCTTCCAGGCTGAGGAGGACGCTAAAGGTGAGGATACTTGCGGGGAGAGGTTGAGCATACTCAAGGCCCTGAGCAGGAGGTCATCGAACGAGAGAAGGACACGGTAGCTACCTTAGGGCAGGCAGCACCTGGTCTGTACTGGAAAAGAGCTATGGCTGCGCTCGACGAGTTGGTCGAGGGAGATTGAAGCAAGGAGAGCGATGCTCGCCACGTCCTGCTCCTGCCTCTCCTGTTCCTCTCTTCTTAGCCATGGAGCAGGGCTCAGGGGCCCTGCACTTTCTCGCGTTGGGTCT